CTCTGACTGAGGGCGGTTGGGAGCAGGGGGGGGGGCTTGTTGCATGTGCCCGCCCCTGTCAGACTTCCCACAGCATCAACGAAGTACACACTTGTAGAAAGGTTTTACTTTATTTGAAGCTATAGGTGCATAGACACGAACACTGTTCAGAATGAGGGGGTTTCAAAGAACATGGCATGTTATAGTACATTCAAACTACTGAGGCCCAATTGTGGGGGTTCCCGCGCGCGCCAACGGGCCCTGGGAGCAAACGCTTCTAGGCAGCATACGTTATCTCTTTCTCACGGTGTTTCGTGAGAGCCTCCAGCAACTAACCCGCAGCGGCAACCACCTGTGGCCTTGGGAGATATAGACGTTTCGGCAGGCCAAGCAATTATGCGCATCAACAGTTATGCATGTGAAAGTGAAAGCAAACAAGCGCACACAGAAAGAAGAAAAACAAAACATTGGCAGCTTGCTGACAGCCCCCTGGGCTCTTTACTGCCGGAGCTCCGCTCCTGTGCACTCCTGCAGGAAATGATCCCTGCTCTCAACAACACTCTCTTTGGCAGTGACATGTTTATTGAGTTGTAAGCGAGATCCAGGTCATAAATCTACCGTGTCATAACTGAAGGTCTTGGCAGGTAGATTCATAGATATAGGTAATTCAAATGAAGCCCCTCCTAATGGCCACTCATACGTCACACCCATCCATCCTGCCTAGCCATAGCGGTCCCACCCCCCTTTCACCTGGGAAATATACGATCCCATTATCTACACAAGCAAGCTGGCACCAAAAGTTTCAAGGATGTTCCTCTGAGAACTCGGAAGAGTTATGGCCCCTAAGTCACACACTCCACACTCGCACTCCACATTCCCTCCACCCACCTAAGCAATTCCTTCCCCCCCCACCCAGCATTCATGGCAAACTGAGCAGGGCCATGTTTGACAGCTTGCTTGTTTCTTATGCTTAAAGTCATGGTTCATGTAAAAGTGGACCACAAACTAGGATATTATAACATCAGATATCATAATAGTTGAAGGGTGTTATCAACAGAAGCGTGCATTTATTGTAATGTTTTATGGTTTTGTGGTATGGTATTGTATTAGTTGTGATCACTGGTTTTAATTGTATATTGGTATTAATTATTTGTAAGCCGCCCTGAGCCGCCTTGGTGGGAGGGCGGGGTAAACGTTTGACAAATAAATAAATAAATAAATAATAATAAGAAGAAGAGATTGGATTTATACCCTGCCCTTCACTACCAAGGGAGTCTCAGAGTGGCTTACAAACTCCTTTCCCTTCCCCTCCCCACAACAGACACCCTGTGAGGTAGGTGGGGCTGAGAGAGCTCTTGACAGAAACTGCTCTTTTTCAAGGACAGCTGTGCCAGAGCTTGTGACTGACCCAAGGACACATCAGCAGGTGCAAGTGGAGGAGTGGGGAATCAAACCTGGTTCTCCCAAATTAGAGTCCTCGCACTTAACCACTACACCAAACTGGCTCTCTAAATAAATAAAAGGGTGAGAAAAGCTGGTACTTTAAAAATGAAAACAAAACAAAACAAAAGCCCCCAGGGGTTTCATCAAAATTGGTGCTTACAAAAGGACACAGGAGGGAGTCATTTGGAATGCTGCCACAGCTCCCTGCTGAGTGTGTCTCCCTGAGCAAACTTCAGTATCAGAACTGAATCTGGCTGAATGAAAAGCATGCAAGGAGAGCAGCTATAACAAGCAGGCTCTAGGTGGTGGTGGTCAGCACCACAGTGAAGCTCATGCAGGTGTAATGTTGAGGAATCCATTTCATGTTTTAAATTAGTTCGTTCCAGGATACTAGGGTCTGGAGTAGTTCCAGTCCAGGTCTTACTCATGTCTAGAGTTTGTTGTTGTTGATTTTTTAAAAAAATATTTATTTTTTAAATTGTTTTACACAAATTTTACATATCTTTTAACCATGCGTTTTCATAATAGTTTTTTCCCTCCCCCCTCCCCCCTCCCCCCTATGCTATCCCGGTGCTTTAGTCCTATATTCCCAGCCACGGGCACAAAGTCCGAATCTTGCTCTGAATGTCTTTTCTTCCTTCTGTCGGTATCCATTCCAGGTAGGTCTTCCACTTCATCGTGATCTCCGTAGTCTTGTCTTTCCATGTGGCCTTACGTTCCAGTTTTTCGATTATGTCGGACTGTATGAGATCAAACAAATAATTATGCCAGATTTCTACTGTCCATTTATTTTTGTTCTTCCAGCCTAGAGCTATTACTGCTTTGCCTGCTAGTATCAGGGCTTTAAACAAAGCTTGGTTCTCTTTGCTTATTGCTGGATTACCTACTATACTCATTAGCATTAAATTAAAGTTAATGTGTAATGATACTTTACATGTCTTATTTATAATTTGTAATATCTTTGTCCAGAATACTC